ACAAAAAACAATGAAATTTTCAAATGATAATTCGTTATTTTACTCACTCTTTACGAAGCAAGATCTCGTAAATGGGGCGGATACACAATTTTTATGACATTTAAAAATTCCCTCATTTGATCTTTATTGCCACACGAGCGTCGCCACATATATTCATATAGATATGAGTCGAACTGCTCCTCCCCATGACAATTTTGGATATTTTGAACTTACCGCCGGACACCGGAGCACAATAAGACGACAGTGACGTAATATTTAATCACACCTTTCTAGATCCGCATGATTTTCAAGTACCATATACGAAAATTAATTTCTCTATTTTTCATCAATATTTCTAACATTCTGACAATTCCACACTCTCTGCATGAATTTCAAAAACATAAAATTTCAGGGGGTCTCCCCTCCCCAGTCGTTTCATAACACATGTTTTGCACTACATTTTGGCCGCCATCTTGGTTGACACTTCACGTGACTTCACGTGGAGCGTCAACTGAGATGGCGGCCATGATGGGAAACCCCGGGTATCAATCTCAACATTTACCCAATCCCCTAGAGTCTATCCTACATCAAGGCCATCTGGCATTGAATTTTCCAGGTCGAATAATTTGCACCAACAAGAGAAATGATGCTTGTGTTCATGTTTGCTATTCCGGTAATTCTGCGAACACCGATTCCGAAAACAAACCACACAAAAATCGAATCAGCAACAGCTTAGCACAGGATAACGCTACCTGGGCCCATAACCTGTTGAAAATATTAAGTTGCTAATCCTCTTCAAAATATATAAGTTGCTAATCCACTTCACAAGAAAGATAATGAAACAAGCAATGGCAACCATCAAGGTTAGTTCAACGTTTTAATTTTAAGAGAACAACATGGAGTTCTACCATCATGGAGCACTCGACAAGACTGCATAACAACATGACGTCAATACACAATAAAATTTGGTGTGCAAAACAATGCGCAACATTCAGTATTTTGTCAATTTCCAACAGAACCATCTGCATTAAGGTGAGGGAAGAGCTGAGGTAGTAACTCCATAGATTTCTCTCAAGCCACGGTAGAAGTTTTTCATGTCTTTCTTGTCTGCAAAGACCTGAATTTCATCAGCTTTCGCACTCAACCAGGAGTCTTGCATCTGGCCCACATGCAACTGGACCTTGCTGTGGATGTTCCTCAGTGCAGCTGTCTTTGCTATTGACATTGGGTCATCATGGAGGGTCTTGTACGCCCGACGTTTTTGCTCAAGTAGCATTTGGATCTGTGTTTTTTTTTCGTCAAACCAATCATTGTGTTTCCACTAACTTTGCCGGGGGAGCGCGGTCTCATGGCACGGGCAGGGTGGGGGGTGCCTCCACTAACTTTGCCAGGGGAGCGCGGTCTCATGGCACGGGCATGGTGGCTGCCTCCAATGAACATTTCCAGGGGAGTCCGGTCCCATGTCACGGTCCTGTGGGGGGGGGTTCCCTCCCCCGAACCTTACCAGGGGAGCCCAGTCCCATGGCACGAGTCGGGGAGGGGGGTACTACCTCTTCCTGTATACACCCTTTTAAAAAGGGAAAAAAACTATCGGAAATAAAAAACTGACACAACTGTAGCGGGTTGTAAATAAATTTATTGACATAATTTTACGAGACTCTGTAGTAATAGACTTAATAGTTACTAAAGGATGGATCGTCGCGATCGATTGAATGAAAGCCCAAAGTAAGGGGCTAAGACTAAGGTCTACGACTAAGGATTGGTACTAAGAAAGGAAGGTTGTGGCTGACGATAATTTTCGATTAACTCAAACTACTTAAGTATAAGTCCTAATAATAGTAATAACCTAGTAAGAATATCGCAACAGTAAGTTGTTTAGTGGTATTAGTACACTTTTAATAAAATGAAAAGGTATTTTGTGTACTTATATTTATATAGAATTACAGAATAAGAATGACTTATTTTAAAAATTGTTACCGCCATGGCAGATTTCGCTTCTGATACATGATTTGTAAATCAATTAGAGTTATCTTTTCTTCACTCGTCCTTAAAATTTCTGTGTCCCGTTAAATAACAGCATAGAAATTCATGATGCATTGATTACAGCTATTGGCCGTAATTCTACAGTAGGATTCTTGTTTAATTACGTCATTTTCAAGGTAATGAAAAATACATGCAAACTACTGTAAAATTTACAGGTATACTGCGATTTATTTACGGTATGCTGTACAAAAATGGACAGTGTGGTTCGGTCCGCTTAACCGTTTTCCCTTTTTTTTTCGGTTATTTTTTACCGACAGACCCCGGAGTCGATCCGATAAACGTGATCGGGTGACTCCGGGCATGGACCAATTGAAATAATCAACTACCCCATCTAACTGCTACGCTTGGCCGTCTGTTCAGCGTTTGTTGTTGAAGAAAGAAAAAAAAATGTAAAGAATTTGGCACCCTAGGGATCCAAGATCCGAAACTTGCCTTTCTCCCTAGGAAAAGGCGTCTGTAAGATGCACTTTGTTTTCAGTTCACATCAAGTATAATTTTAGGACAAATACATTGTCTCATGTTTATATCACTTTTATGTATCTTCATTTTTTTGCGAAATCTTCCCCTCAAATACGCACCTGAATATCATAATTCCTACCAAAACCGACTGGTTTTGTTTTTGTTCATATCTTGCGATTTCTGCACAAGTTTTTCTGTTCTTAATTTTCGTTTACAAATTATCTAACAATAGACAGCATAACTGTCGAACCGTTGGACCAGTTGTGTCGTGTTCATCCACTCATGGCGATGAGAGCTACTTGTTTGGGCCAGATCTTTCGCTTAATCCCAAGAGAGAGCATATCGAATACTTACTATTAGCAACGACAACAGCTTATCGGTTTGTTGCAAGATATGAATTTATTTAACAACAATTTCCTAACTAGGGCTGTTATATAATTACAGATTAATAATCTTTTAGTTTGTTCCTAAAGACATTTAGTTTTCTGTTAAAGATTGCTTAGTTTATTCTTATAAATTATTGAGTTTACTATTAAAGATCATTTGTTTTGTTCTTAAAGATCATTTAGTTCGTTCTTAAAAATCGCTTAGTTTGTTCTTTAAAATCTTTTAGTTTTTTTTATTAAAGATTGCTTAGATTTTTCTTAAAGATCGCTTAGTTTGTTTTAAAGATCGTTTAGTTTTGTTCTTAAATGTCACTTAGTTTGTTGTTAAATATCGTTTAGTTTGTTCTCAAAGATCGCTTAAATTGTTCTTAAAGATCGATTTATTTGTTTTTAAAGATCACTTCTTTGTTTTTAAAGATCGTTTAGTTTGTTCTTAAAGATCGCTTAATTTGTTCTTAAAGATCGCTTAATTTGTTCTTAAAGATTGTTGAGTTTGTACTTAAATGTCGCTTAGTTTGTTGTTAAATATCGATTTCGCTGAGTATAAGATGACCGTAAACCTCAGTCACTTTCGGCCTGGCCCGAAAGTCTAAGTCAATTTCAGCCGAAACCGAGAAAAAACCGAACGTTAACTTTTCTCTTTCGGCTGAAACCGAAATTAAGCCGAAAGTTAACTTTCAGTTAGTGATAAAATGACCACTTTCGGCGCCGAAAACAAAGCCGAAATTCGGTCGGTCTCTAATACAACTACACATAAAATCTCTAACTAAACATCTTGTCCCTACTAAACATAACAAGCGTGATCTACACGTAACAACAGTGATTCTCATACCCTTGACAATTACCATATTACTTGTAGTATGAAATGTAGCCGCTGTTTTAAAACTCGGAAATATTTTGCCACTTTTTTTTTCAAACTCGACCCCTGAGCAAAATAATGATCAACTATGAATAATTTTCAACAACTTCTTACCATCTTATATTACACTACGGGGAACACGTGGCGATCAGATCTATGCACCGTTGACAAACGTACGTATGCGTATAAGATGCGGATGTTTCAGGACTGCATATTTTGGCGAATAATGTATATTATTTTTATAACACAAACAAAAGTTAATTAAAGTTTATTAAAGAGGATTGTGAAATCTTGAAGTTGAAGTCATTTTTTTATAGAACATTATGTAATGTAAATAATACATTTGAGATAAACAATATACAGGTATTCGTGGTGTATAATATTTTATGCAATAATGTGGAATCAGTTCAATTGTGTTCTTTAAAATAATATTTCATTGCAAGTAAGAAAATTAACAATGAGAATGGAAAGAATAATGGTAAAAAAATGTATCACAGACGTGAAATATGAGCTTGACTTTGAATGACTTTATAAACACAACTCCGAGAGCCAATTTTCATTGTCATTTTAAAAAAGTAAGCCATGTCAAATTTGACAATTATCACCATTAATATCTAATAAATATCCTTGAAAGCAGTTGATTCGTTTCTTCCCTTTAAAGCAGTATAAAATAACTACAACTTAAATACACGGAACACAAATAAACACAGTAAAATCATCTGACAAGAATGAGGGGGAAAACATTCGTGAGCCACGCCGTCGTGTGGTCCCTGCGACTTCAGGGAACCTTGTAATAAGGGGGTCAATGGTTATCATGTGAACAAAATTTCAACTCTCAGCTTTGATTGAAGGGGCACAAAAATATAGTGTTGCCCCCAAACGTCACGTGACGGCTCTGTTTGTGAGTAAAGTTTTTACCATTAGACTAAAACTGACCTACACATTGATCGTGCACTTCAGATTTCAGTTGCGTGTAGAATGGATATCTTCTCCAAATTCACTTTTGGACAGAAGCTGAGACTGGATTTTATTTAATTTTTATTTTATTTTAAGTGACAAAAGTTCATTCTTGTTCCATAAATTTTAGAGTTCCAGGACTATCTATACAAATAATACAATACACAAACTGTTCGGTAAGATACAGTCTGGATTTTTAAAATATGTTTCTAAAATTATATTTAATATATTTAGAATGACTTTAACTTTAATAAAATGCGTCCAATTGATTAAATGTGTATTTTGTTGGTTAATTTAAATTTCGTACATCTATTTTTAATTTCAACATTTGCTCGATGTAACTCAACCTATGAACGATGGCATATACATTTATAAAATAAAATTTATCTAAATTTAGCATTAGCTGTCTTGTGTTTAAATTTATTTGTGTTTAATACAATAAAATAATAATAATAATTGGAAGTTTAATTATATGACAACTGTTAGTTTTTTTACATAATACATTTGTAATTTAATAATGTCAGAAGTAAAAAGACGAATGTTTCCAACCATCAAATTTTCAGCAGTTATCCTCTCATGCATGCCCTGATGCAGTGGGGCAGCTTAAGTTTCTGATGCTCGTGGCATTCTTTGACTCGCTCGCCCCTCACTCACGATACATAACAGAACGTACATAATACACACTGTTAAACATACACCCAAAATGGCGTAAATCCGTAAATTCAGTCGACCGTTAAAAGGCGCTCCCAAAATGTGTTGCCCGTGGGGCGGACCTCCTCCAACTACGGCAGTACCCTGATGTGACGGAAATTTAACATCATGAAGGATTTGTAATTGCTATTTAAATTTTCAAATTATCAAGTGTGAATGTAACAATAGCTGCTGCTTCGCATTGTTTCGATTCTTTCGGTGGTGAGACTGCATAATAAAAAACACATTGTACAAAATTGATATTTTAGGAGTACGGTACACCCTTTGAGAAGCTTTGATTAAAAAAATGTTCAAAGCAGAAATGTGAATAATGAAAATGATTGAATACAATTAATTTAGATAATTTAAGTTACACAAATAATTTTACTATGGAGATTTGTTCAAAAAACTTTTTGACAGACCCCAGACCGACGTTTTTATAATTCTGTTGATTTCTTGCATGCTTATGGTTTTAGTCCCACCATGTTTGTTTTCTATTGAACTAAATCAAGTCAGACGTCCCTTGTGCTTCATTAGTAAATTTGCATAAAAGTAAAGAGGCCAATTTCAAACTTGAAATTGAAAGGGTAATTTACTTTATGTCGAGCCTTTTAAAGAAAAACATTACACTGCCTAACTTACAACTGCAATGAAATTTAAATTAAACAATTTGCTTTTAAAAATTTACATTTTCTTAATTTTTTTTATAAGAAAATGACACATAGAATATTGGACAGAGCCCCAAATTTTTCAGCGAAATCTTCCCCTCGAATACACACCTGAATATCATCATTCCTACCGAAACCTTGTGGTTTTGTGTTTTTGATCATCTTGGGATTTCTGCACAAGGGACCACGTATGTAATCGAGATTTCCCAAAAGCCTTTTTTTGATGGCTTTATTTTTATAACCATCACGACAAAGACGGACTATGTCTTCCCATTCTTGTTTAGATGACGTCAAATCACGGCCATATGCCTCATCCCACTGTTGACTTTGAAAAGTGTAAACAATGACTGCTTGATTTTCACCTCGAGATGCTCGGCTCCATTCCTTGGCATTCTCAAACTTTTCCGACACGTAGAATCCATCTCCACTCGAAAAATCTTGGCAATCTCTTCCTTTAGTCAAAGTGATTCCATCTTCAATAATGGACTTTGCACTTTCATGAGTTGTGCCATGGTAGAAAATGTGACAATCTGTTGTTTTTTCTCGTTCTCTCAGAAACGCGACCACCTCATCTCTTCCTGAATTCGTTGCTATATTTATCATCTTAACTGGAAACGCTGGATGGTGATCTCCGTCGCCATCTTCTTCATCTAGTCCACCTTGGTCTCTGATTTCTTCCGTGAACCAGTGATCCGTTTTTTCAGTTTGATAGATATATCTGGAATGTTCTGTTAATAGAGGGTGATGTTGAAATGCGTGCCGTAAAAATCTCAAAGCCCAGAACAGTGATGATTGTAAATCAACCAATTCATCTGGGATGCTGGTAGCAATCGTTTTTGAGCTCTCTGCGGTGAAGCCAAGCTTCTGCAAGTTCTTCTGTAAGGCTTCTTTGCCTTGGCTCCGTGTAGTTTCTTCTGCAGCACCAAGTACATTAGCACGCTCTGTTAAAATCTTTTCAAGATAATAAAGTTCTGTCTGGTGCATTTTCATGTTTTCATCCATACTAAATAGAAAAGACCCATAACTTTCATCATTTATGCCAACGGTAGCAAGAAGGATGCTAGTTTGATTTGTTATAAAATCTGAATCATATCGTGAAAACAGACCATACAGTTCTTCATGTTTTAAACTTTTCTTTAGAGCAATTAATTTATTTTTTGCATTGTTTAATTCATCAACAGATGGCAATCCATCCACTTGAAGGCCCATTGGTCTTCCAGTATAGTAAGCCAAAATTTTGTCGACCAAGACTGTGAACTCATTTACACTGGAGTGTAACTCAGTTAGTTTCTTGATCTTTCTGTCCAGAGAACTTCCTTTTTCCTAAAGCAGTAGCAATAATAGAAAATTAGTAAAATAATATTCCATAATGTAAATGTCACTTTATTTTTTTTTAAAAAGCAACGAAAACACACCACACAAATAAATGTATTCTCTTTTGTGACAGCTCTGAAACAAAAAAAATTTTGAATACAATAAAAGTGTATGTATATACATATATATATATATATTGAACTGTTTAACTTAATGGGTAGTTCATAATGGATGTCCGTAAAAAGAATTGCATCTCCCGTTGTCCGCATCTAGCTTACCCCCCCCCCCCCCCCCCCCCCCCCCCATAATTAAATACATAAATAAATATATTTTAAAAAATCACGTTGTGGACGTACGCATATAGCGGATTACAGTGTGAAATACCAGGAATTATAATAACGATTACAAAGAGAAAACCAGTCACTAGTTTTTACAAAAAAGTCTTCAGATATAATTCAAGTCAACCAGACCTGAGAATTGGAGAATATTTTTCCATCCTAAACTCGCATCGTTTACAATTATTGAGCAATGGCAACTAAAAATATAGAGGGTTTTCAACGACGTCCAGGCGATGGCGATTTAAATTATTTTTTTCACAATTTCTAACATTTTTCAACCATAAAAGACGTCCGCATTTTTAAAATGTTAACATACTAGAATGCACGCATTGGGCCTAAAGCAACATTTAACCTAAAGGGTTAGCTTGTGGAAGTCGCTGTACATCACTCCCTGTCAGATGTTGTTCTCTTTATGAACGAGCCCTTATTGTGTTTACATACTGGGTGACGACCAAAAAAAGAAAGAAAAAGATTTATGTTTTCTTTACTTAAATTTTACGCCTACATAGTGTTTTCGTAATTTCCTTTAAATTTTACGTTTTTATTCGATTTGCGTAATTCCTAGTTACAAAATTCGGAAAATTCGTACGGGAAAACTATTTCTCAATTATTTTCTTATGACATCGTCACTTTCTCTTTAACTTAGTATAACGACTTTTGATACCTTTTAATTGCAACATCTTGATCTATTTCAAGGCACTTACTCTGAGTGTCTTTTCGAGTTCCAGCTCCTTGGTGACCACATCCCGAAGTTTCTTGTTAAACACAGCTACACACTCACACAGCGTCAGAGCCTCCTTCTGAGTTTCTAATTTGAACCTTGCTTGTCTTTCTTGCTTCGCAGAAACTAGCGGAACCTGTCCACTGGGCATTTCAGTTTTAGATACATAGACTACTATCGTAACAGCAATAACTCGCAATTGTATGACTTGTTGAATTAGTAATGTTTTACTTGTGATGCTCTCAATTAGCTTGACGTAAGCCTTGAATTTTGGAATTGCTTGTATCAGAAATGGATCGAGCTTACGTGAGGCTAAAGACATCTGAAAAATAATAGACAAAATTTAGACCTTTTTTTTTATTAAAAGGAAAAGTACCCTGAAAGAATAGACTAGTTACTTTAAGTGGGACTAATAATGCCGGCATTGCCGGCTTTAATTAAGTTTTAGGCCACCCCCACAGCCCACCCGCAATTATGGTCCAAATTTCATTATCCGGACTTAACTAAAAAGAATTTGCATACCCCTGACTCAGAGCAGTGCCGTAAAAAACAAATTCGTCAATCTATAGATTTCGAACATAAAATTTTGTTGCTATCTTTCATATGAACGAATGTAAAATTAATGATTGTTTTCATCTTCGAGACGGATAAAAACACTATTTTGGCTAAATTAAGCTAAATCCTTATTTTTAATTACAGAGATCGTTTACTGGTGAGATACCGTTTTAAGTAAGTTTCTTGATGCTGGAGAACGAGCGTACTGGTTATGAAAAATAATGTTAAAGAAGATAAAGTATTCAAGGACAATTTCTTTATGGAATGTTCAGATTGATACATTAGTTTCTTAAGTGATGCCATAGTGATGAACAATTGTTTGGTTTAGGACCGTTGACAAGATACAGCACGAGTTGTGTGCACCATTTGAAAGGGGTTCTAAAATGCCGTGACGGAGAAACAATGCTTATACTTACACATAAAAAACATTATTTTCTTTTTAGTTAAAAAAAATGTTGCTATAAGTTTAGTTTGACTGTGTTTTGTCAGCTGAAATGCTGCACACACATCTACTAACTGCCCTTCTTGTTTGCTAGTATTACAACTAGGCCCATGTGGTCAAATCTTTATTATTATTATTATTTTTTCAAAATAGTCTTCCCAAGCTTAATAGGGGCGGTTTTTAAATTCTTGGCGTGGAAGTCATATGCCCTTTGTAGTAACATTAGTAAATAAATATTTATTGGGAAAGCTATGTTTATATTAATTTATAATACTGAAAACTTATTGTCTTTTAATGAATCAGGCAGATTTGTGTTTTCTTTGATCTGATTGAAATTTTAATAGTTCAGGACAACCTCTTCAATTCAAACATTGGGTTAATAATAAAAAATATATTTTTTGCGATTCACAGTTTGTAACTATAAAAAAAAGGAGACTGTACAATTTAATGTAAGTATAAAATAAACAAAAAAACTGAGAGTTATAGACTAGATAATAGATATTTATGTAATATGTGTAAGAATAATTTGTCATTCGGTTATCTAATATTGAAACCGAAAGTGTCGATCAGATTATAGCCGAACTATTTTTAATGAACATAACTTCAGATCACGTCATAACATGTACATTTGTAAGATTTTTTTTGACCAAACTACAATTTATGACTTTCCATTAACCAGGAATTTTAATGACTCCTATTTCGTTATTGATACATTATTATTATTATAAGACGGTATGATTGCATATTGAAATAGTGTTTAAAACTTACCTTATTCCTTTTGTGTTTTAATTTTTAAATTTTTTCAGCTCTATGCACCAACATCCCACCCTACCACCCCCTAGATTGTATTAGTCAACTGAAATTAGTTATCAGATTTTTATACTCCGCATGATCACCAACTTTGATAAGGGTACTGACAAACTGAAACTAAATATAGACTGAAACTGAAACAAATTTGGCGCTTATTTTTTATTCGATTATAAAATCTGCAATTATCAGTGCATCAATAGACACGCAATCATTTTAAAATTATCTACAGTTTATCGTACCTTGCACACACCTGCCTGCGCCTTTAATGACGGACGAAACCAAGTTGGACTTGGTGCCATCCCTGTTGGGCAGATCCAGTTTGAAAATGATCCACTCTGAAATCTAATCATTTATTTTCATAATAGACATTTTAAAATCCTTTGGAACTTTTCTTTGATCAATTGACTGAAAACAACAATCAAATGATAGGAACATTTTTAACACACTTATAATAGCTTTTAAATAACACTTTGAAGAAAAAAAAATACTGACGTCAGAGTGTTTTTAAACCGTTATCAAATGACACTCATTCTTTTTTTAAGTTTAAACTCAATCCGAGAAAGATAAAATAATCTGGTTACATCTAGTTTTGTATTGTAGGGAATCACGCATTAGGTGGCCAGCCTCTACCAACATTTTGAGTTGATTGGGTTGTTGCTGATTTGTAAAAATAACAATTACGCTAGTTTTTTTTTTTTTTTTGTATAGAGTTTTATGGTTATCATAATTTTACATTGAAAACTCTACCATTACACACCCCATCATAATATGATCACATGGGTCTAATGGGTTCAGCGTACGACTTCTAAAACTACTGAATTACAATATTATTGTCTCGGCACACATAGCAATGTCTCGCGGCACAAATAGCATTGTCTCGCGGCACATATATCAATGTCTCGCGGCACACATAGCATTGTCTCGCGGCACACATATCATTGTCACACGGCACACATAGCATAGTCTCGCGGCACACGTAGCATCGCCTCCGCACACATGACATTGTCTGCGCACACATGGCATTGTCTCGGCACACATAGCATTGTCTCGGCACACATAGCATTGTCTCGGCACACATGGCATTGTCTCGGCACACATGGCATTGTCTCGGCACACATGGCATTGTCTCGGCACACATGGCATTGTCTCGGCACACATGGCATTGCCCCGGCACACATGGCATTGCCCCGGCACACATGGCATTGCCTCAGCACACATGGCATTGCCTCGGAACACATGGCATTGTCTCGGCACACATGGCATTGTCTCGGCACACATAGCATTGTCTCGGCACACATGGCAATGTGTCGGCACTCATGGCATTGCCTCAGCGCACATGGCATTGTGTCATCACACATAGCATTGTCTCGGCACACATAAAATTTTCTCGGCTCACATAGAATTGTCTCGGCACACATAGTATTGTCTCGGCTCACATGGCATTTTCTCGGCTCACATAGCATTGTCTCGGCTAACATGGCATTGTTTCGGCTCACATAGCATTGTCTCGGCACACATAGTATTGTCTCGGCTCACATAGCATTTTCTCGGCTCACATGGCATTGTCTCGGCACACATAGTATTGTCTCGGCTCACATAGCATTTTCTCGGCTCACATAGCCTTGTCTCGGCACACATATCATTGTCTCGGCACACATGGCATTGCCTCGGCACACATGGCATTGTCTCCACACACATGGCATTGTCTCGGCACACATAGCATTGTCTCGGCACACATAGCATTGTCTCGGCTCACATAGCATTGTCTCGGCTCACATAGCATTGTCTCGGCTCACATAGCATTGTCTCGGCTCACATAACATTGTCTCGGCACACATTGCATTGTCTCGGCTCACATAGCATTGCCTCGGCACACATAGCATTGTCTCGGCACACATGGCATTGTCTTGGCACACATGGCATTGTCTCGGCACACGTAGCAGTGTCTCGCGGCACACAGTGTGCCGCTGCATACCGTTTTCGGACGTCTTCTCAAAACAACCAAACGTAAACTTAATGATAATTAGGCCTTACGACACTGTCAGACAATATTAAGACATTACAATTATGAGAGTCCTTAATTATGTCGCTCGGCTGTGACTAAGACACCCCCCCCTCGCTTAATAAAATAAATTTAAAAAGTCTGTGGGCACCTATGCCAAACAGCAATGTCGTATGAGAGGGGAGGGCTTGGTCCGCCGTGGGCAGCATTTTCGTCCAACTACACGGTTTTTCATGGAATGAAAAAGGCAAAATAACAAATTGAATTCGGGGAAAATCATGCATGGCTAAACAGGAATATTTGTTAGAAGAAAGTCTTTACGACATCTGACGTCACGGGTGTTTATTAACATTCTAAAATGGTGATGCTTTTTAAACATTATTTGTACATGCGGTATTATTTATATATTTCGAATGATGCGCACCTACAAGAATATATATACTACTAGCGAGTACCCGGCATGCGTTGCAATGCCACTCAAAGAAAGACAGTGTTTGCATGTTAATTATGTTTCTTCAAGATCTTTTAAATACTCAAAGTTTTTCTTGTTTTTCCATCTGGTATATACACGAATAAATCAGAAGATTTTCCGACGCGAGAGCAGGCCACATACATCTATCCATGGGCGATGCATGGATTTTCCAAATTTAGTCCGCAAACTTGTAGCGATTATCCCTGTGCTTTGTAGATAGTAATCGTAGACGCTTGTCGAATCGGAAACTGTAGGCGTTTGAATTCAAATGGCATATCTGTTGGAATCATTGGGGTGAATGGCAAAAGTACATCACCTAGTTTAAATTTTCCATTTAAAATAGTAACTTCAATGGAACCAATGTCGGAAGATTCATTTGAACAAATGTACCGTACCTAATGCTTCGATATCAAAGTGCGTTTCTCGTTGCAAATCAAGAGCGAAAAGTTTGTTTGCAGATCGATTCCGAGAGGTCATTCCCAACTCACGAATCATCAATCGATATGAATAGTATTTCATGGCACTGACTTTCTTATTCGAATTTCTCAATTTGATGTCAAAATGATATCCATCTTCTCCTTGCCAAAATAAAATAGGATATTGCAATCAATCGTATGAGCGATGAGTTTCTGAGACTCGCTGAACATCCCCACTTTTGCGATGAAGAATTATATCACGTGAGTTTAAGTCTTCGCCAACTATAACGATCGCCACCTCATCAATTGTTGATGCATTGTATTGTCTTTCATGTTGGCTCTAACTATGACTTTGTATTCATCAGTCGGCATCTTCTCATTTGCAATTCTATACATTTGAATTAATTCTTTGTGTTGCAAAAATAACGTTTGCATTGCAGCGACGATTTCTCGTTTAGTGCCCGTATTGATATGACAACGTTGATCGATTTTTTCATCAGTATTCCCCATGAAATCATTTGAAGACATTTGTGATCTGTGTTTGGCATTGGCATCAGAGATCCTACACCATGGTAAATTTGGCCTTGCACTTTATTTTAAATATTGGCATGTAATTCTCGCACACAATATTTGTTGCACCGAAAGATGTCATTTGGAAACATGAATTGTACTTGCGTATGTTTGCCAAGAAATGTTTCGATTGGCTTGTTTCACCTTATACCAAGTTGATAATGGTTCCGGTGATGAATGTAATTCTGGCAATTTCATTTTCCCATCCGCGCAGCGAATTCCCGGTGTTTCGTTTTTAAATTTGAGGGCACTGCAATACACGCATAATTGGTCTATTTTTCCAATAACCACACTTGGATTAAGATTGTAATAATAATAAGCATCCTAATTGAATGTACTAAGAATTAATTCAGCGTGCAGTGTTCGTCTGGATCGAGCAGTGCTTACTCTATCGGAATCCAGTCTTGTTTCGCGCTGCTCGAATGATTCAGACAAACGGGTTTCAGCATTGCTTACTCGGCCGGTGTTGATTCTTGGTTTCCGTTGCCTCACTGTTTCAGGTAAACGGTATTGAGCATTGCGTACTCGAGTGGATTCTAGTCTTGCTTTCCGTTGCTCAACTGTTTCGAAATATCGGGACTACTTTTCCTTTCGTGCTTGAGGTTTAGATTGACCCAATACTTTTTATTTTGGTGGCATAATTGATTTGACAGCGAAATTATTGCTTTGTGACATCTGTTATTAGCAATGGTATTTCACAATTAACGCAACTTCTTAGGTCACAAACAAAATGAAATATCGCTGTTTGTATTTTATTCAATAAATTTACAATATTCCTAACGTTCATAATTTTCACACGTTAGGATCTCCCATATTTTTACATGAAAACCTCGCAAAATATGTACGTTCATTGTTGGCAGGAGATTTCCAGTTGTATAGTTTCTCATTAATTTATAAATCGTAAATTCCAGGGGTAAAAAAATGACCACAGTTCAATACCTACGTTGTCAAGTGTGTTATTTAATTACTTGAGAAACCATCGATTCGTGTAAAATGTATTTACATAACACAAAACAACTCCGAAATTATACGACTCTATTCAAGAAATACTCGTAGTTGAAAAAAAAAAACGCGATTTCGATGTCATTTCCGATTCTAAAATACGTCACAAAATTCAAGGTTATTTATACAAATAACAAAATACTCTCTACACTAAAAATGTAAAAACGTGTTTTCTCTGCTTTACTACAAATGTGTAATTTTTTCAAGGGCGGTAGTGTTGATATCTCCGTTATAAATTAAATTGATGAAGCTCATTTAAGAAAATAAATTGAATTTAGGGTCCCCAGCCCAAATTGGAATATTGTACAATGGATGTACTAAATTGAAAAATTTGCCGGCGCATTCAGCTACTTCCACATATGCAATAGCTCTGTTTGAAATTATAGTTACAAAGCTCTTAGAAGAAAATATGAAATTAGGGTCACTGGCCCAAACGGAATATTGTAAAATGTTTTTTCTAATTTAGAAACATTTTCGGTAGTGCGCAATTCACTTGACCCAGTTTTATCACAATCGAATGAATGGTATAGAAATGCATACGATAATTATATAGATAATAGAAGTGTGGAAAACGAATTTAGGGCCCCCCGCCACAAATTGAATATTGTAGAATTGTTGTATTACTTCAGAAACCTACTTAATATGTCACACACTCAATTTAATATCACTATTTGTATTTGATTAAAAAGCTATCCATCCATGCATTAGCTCTGTTTGAAATTATAGTTGTATAGCTTATATAGAAAAAACGAACATAGGACCCCTGGCTAAAAACGGAGTATTTTAAAATGGTTGTAATCATTTAAGAAACCTTTGCGGGCGTGCGCACAACATCTCTCTAAAATTGTTTCGCATTCTAATAATGTAGAGGAGCTGTTATAGAGAGCTTGTTTACATATATTTCTCGTGCGT